GCCCCCCGTACCTCACCTGGGGGAACTGCGTTCCCCCGTGTTCCCCCCCGAAATGACCTCTGGATGAACTTATTCCACCTGAAAATTCCACCTCCTATTTCAACGTCTATATGTCAGAACTGTCCCATATCAGCTTTTCCCCCCAAAGACACCAACGTCTCTTGCAAAGATGCATCAATGTCAAAATAAAACAGATGTGGTATACGAATACTTTTGTGTGTCTTTAAAATTAACAACTAATGGAAGTGAACTTGGGAATGGTATATTTAGAAACTGTTTTATTTTCACTGTTGAAGAACCGCCTTTATTTTTTATCATTTTTGCAACAAATAATATATGGTCACCTATCCAGCAAGTCCTGTATTATTCAATATGCTCCAGAGTGATTCATTTGGATGCTATCGATACATTCCGTTAATAAGTGTATGTTTTTATGTACTTGCGCATTTCATCATTATAGCTTGTAAGCAGAGGAAATGCCGTTTATTTATAATGCAAGTGATGATGCAGCAAAAACAGCACAGAGGACAATGGCAAACGTTGATGTGGTTTGCCTGAAGGGCGCCGAATCAGAAAGCTTGTTTACTTCAACTAGCCACAATAGAGCAAAAGTCGGACATTTTTAGAAATCAAATGCATCTCTCTTTTGGCTATTTTTTCCCTTTCCGCCTTTATTATAATAAATATAATAAGGTGATAAACGAGGAACATCCCAGAATCCTGGTCATCCCAGGATTAAGCTGGAATAAAGAAAGGGGGGGGATACAGGCTGCAAGCCAAAAGAAAAGTAAAGAAAAAGGTCTCCATGAGCCAAAAAACTTCACAACACCACCAGAATCAACTGTACAGTGATTAACTCACATTCTCTGCCTAAACAATTTCATTTTGGAATGTTCCCCCAGGAGTAAACAACAAGTATCAAGAACCAAAAGGGTGAGAAGAAAGTCTAATGAAGGGCCTATATTAAAAACCTAGTTAAAACTTATACAAAAATACAAGTATTTATTAGAAAGACAGTTAAAAACATACATAAGGGCCCAATGAAAGCCTTGTAAAAAACCATAGCCTAAACACAAGGGCCAATACACACGACCTGACGTGTTTCTACCCTATTGGGGTAGAGGTCAAACAATATTGAGGTGCACATAACTTAAATACATATTGCAATAAGATAACCAATAAGTGAATGATGGACCAGGAAGAGGAAGGTTAAGCAGCAAAATCTAAAGACACATGACAAAGATGTTTGTGAGGCCTCAAAAGGTGAAAGTAATGTGTCTGGTGCCAAATGCACAGTTGCTGTATTAGAACATCTTCCAATTAAGGTCCAAAAAACACCTGTGTGGCTATCAAAGTCAGAGCTAGAGTGTCCTCAAGCAAATAGCCAAAGAAAAGAACAAGTAACCAGGGTGAAAGGTGCAGCCTGGAGATCTCTCACTATTACTATGGATTTCCAGAAGACAGAGATCAATTCAAATGGCTGCTCTGGAAGGTGGACTTTAGGGCACAGTACACAGGTCGGTAGTTCAGCAGTTCAAGACCCGGGTGCCGCATGACGGAGTGAGCTCCCGTCTCTAGTTCCAGCTCCTGCCAACCTAGCAGTTCGAAAGCAAGAAATTGCAAGTAGATAAATAGGTACCACTTCAGTGGGAAGGTAACAGCGTTCCGTGCGCCTTGGTGTTTAGTCATGCCGGCCACATGACCACCATGGAAACGTCTTTGGACAGCGCTGGCTCTTCGGCTTTGAAACGGAGATGAGCACCGCAACCCTAGAGTCGGATTCGACTGGCTTTCGAGCAAGGGAACCTTTACCTTTTACACGGGCTGAGGACTCCCCCCCCACACACAAAACCCTGCCCCCCTCACATTCCATTCCCAAAATCTCCAGGTATTTCCCCATCAAGAGCTTTCAAACCTAAACCCAATCCATTCCCTGATGTGCTAATATTTTAGATTATTATTTCCAGCTTAGCATTTGTTTATTTAGTACATCGTTATGTTGCTGTTCTTGCAAAGAGCCCAGGAAGGCACACAAGGTTTTTCCTTCCTACGTTTTGTTCTCACAACAACCTTGTGAGGTAATTCCAGAGAGTTTCATAACAAGTAGGGAATGTTGCTGTTCTTGCAAAGAGCCCAGGACAGCACACAAGGTTTTTCCTTACTACGTTTTGTTCTCACGACAACCTTGTGAGGTAGGTTAGACATGTCCAGAGAGTTTCATAACAAGTAGGTATTTGAACCTGGCTCTCTGCCAGTTCTGACCAAACATTATACACTACATCCCATTGGCTCTTTAATATGCAGGTGACTATTCACAAATTGCATACACACACACTCCTGTAGTCTGAAGTGATTACAATGATTCTTCCACCCCAGACCCAATTAAAAAAACCCCACACTTTAGATCAGAGGTGTCGAACTCATTTGTTACGAGGGCCGGATCTGACATAAATGTCACTTTGTCAGGCCGGGCCAGGCCAAGTGTGCCATAAAACATAATGCCAGGTACCGGAGACATAAACTGTATGAAGGACAGCAGCTGGTAAGCTCCGGGTTGATGTATCCTCATTGCAAGGCCTCATGGGCTGGGTGGGAGGTGCAAAGGAAAACCCATATGGGCAGACTGTAGAAACAGCGGTGCAGCCCTGGGCAGATGCTCCCACGCTGCTTGACTGCTGCAAACGAGGTTGTTCTGCCATGTTGAAGCCACAATTGGAGTGGCTCTGCCCACTCCCTCCAAGCAGTCTCCTGTTCCCTCTCTTGCACTAGTTGCTTGTGGGCTGCACAAGAGCCTTGGATGGGCCTGTTCTGGCCCCCGGGCCTTATGTTTGACGCCCCTGCTTTAGATACCTATTTCACAGTAATCCCGCTTTTCACCACAGGATAGCATGGTTGGCCTTATAACAGAAAAAAAAAACCCATCTAAAATTACTGATTAAAAATCATCTTGCCTTCCTTCTTCTACAGCTGTGCTGAATGCTAACTAAGATACAGTATTTCCAAACATATCTGCAAAATTGTCTCACAATAATTTCAAGCAGATGGCAACGACTGAAGTTGTCAGCAAATTAACGATTTGCAAAATGCTGAAAAGCCAGTAGCAGGTCTCAGTCTGAGAAAGATAACAACATACAGGCCAACAAAGAGATCTGAAGTCAGTAGAAAGTGCAACTTCTCTTAAAGAGGATCAGTACCTTTTCCTGGACAAAGCTGGTGTTCCCCAAGGAGAGGGGAGAGAAGTCTCATTTGTCAGGCAAGGAGGGATCTGTTCCGCACGACTACAGACAAAACAGACATGAAGGGGATAGAGAGGTTAGAAAAGAAAACAAGAGGCCAGAAGCTTGTTAGTTTGTACAGTTCCACCAATAGAGATACGTCTTGCAGAAATAGCCAGAACAAAGACATTGAAGAGCATGCATGATTCTGAAACACAGACATAAAAAGCGGATAGATCTTCCTTTGTGAGTACAACTCTTGCATTCAGTTGGGGGGAGATTGTAAACAAGTTTAAACTATCTGCTTTTACACACAGCCTTGAAACATATCTCAGCATTGTAGTGAAGACCTGGATTAGTGACACGGGATCACCTCCGAGGACATGTAGCATAAGCAGGTATGATTAAATCTGCATCAGATGGACTAACACAATATCCTTGAGGTTTACAGACTAAAAGTGGAAGAGGTGATGGAAAAGACAAAAGTGATCTGTATTTCTAATGCAACAACAGAAGAAAACTCAAACCAAGCTATCCCAGTTTTTTTGAATTCCACCTTTAACAAGTACTAGACAAAGCACAAGCTAATTAAATGAATCCGTAATCTGAAATTAACTTGAGAAATTTAGTGTCTAAAAATATTACTCAGGGAATTTAAAGAGACCTTCTCATGTTACACTGCTAAAAGATACAAATACCATGAGCTATTCAGTTAGAAGCTATAAACCTAACCTATTATCCAAGATAAAATCCAAGAACATCCTTTGTAAACAAAGCAGAGCTATAGAAGGGCAAGAAACAGGGTGCGCTCTTCCATATATCCAATTAATCATTAAAAATATAGTTAATAATTCTTTTAATACAGGATTAAAATAAAAAAATTCTAAAAGCAAAACATTTCTTGAACAATAAAACACTCCTTGAATTCCAACAGCATTGCTTTAAAGTCCTACGTAATTATTAAAATAATTAGTTAAAAATGTGATTCTGTGTTTCGTGTTGTTATGCGCTACCTAGTATCTGGTTCTTTGTTTAAACAAGAGGAAGAGCAAAGAAACAAAATACGTTAAAAGTGAAACATCTGCTCCATCGCGGGATGGCGATTTTAATTGAAGACAGACAAAACACAGTGTTTCTGCGCACAGAGCGATGCAGCAGAAGCCTTTCAAACAAACAGATGCATCGGAGCCCTAGAGCTTCCCGTTATCTGTCTGAAGGCCAGCAAGAAGGCTCCTCTTTCATTTATTGTGCCTTTTGGTGATTAGGCCTTTTGAAATCTATCTTTTCATTAACGTCTTCGGTCCTGTTAATGTTTAAGCGGTTGGATGCGAAGAGGCTAACCAGATGCAAAAAAAAAGGGGGGGGGGAGAGATCATTCTCTTCACATTCTCCTGCCGGCAGCACCAAAACTCCCTGTTCAATATGACTCATCAAGGAGCCTCGTCTTCCATATCTGATCACCATGGAGGACAGGCTCCTTCCCTGACCGGGCAGTTACTCGGGGTGGCACAACAAGAAGGACACCAACGTACTGCGAGGGACTTGGCTTGCTCCAGGCCACTGCAGCACGGGAAGCGGCAGGCGCCACTTCTCAAACTGCTTAGCCACTGACACAGATCTAGGAGGTGAAAAGGCGTACCCCCCTTGCTTGGGACAACAAAATGTCTTGAACCGGCCTGGGTAGCTCGCATTGCCAGAGGTCAGCCCCACCCAGTCAACCCCTCTCTCTGCACAGTCATTTGCATGTACAGCATCCCAAATAGGGAACTGCAAAGAAGCCTTGAGGATACATCATGACCTCCATGGACAGAGACAATAAACCAATGACTTCAGGTGCATGCACTAAAAAAACAACAAGTAAGACAATCGTCAATCTCCGACGACAATAAACCAATGACTTCAGGTGCATGGACTAAAAAAACAAGACAATTGTCAATGTCAGTCTCAGCTGAAAACAGAGAGTGAATAATCCTCTGAAGTAAGGCTGAAGCACAGAAATGATAGACAATACCCTAGATTCCAGAGATCTGTTCTGCTAGCAGGGAAAGGGCCTCTTCAGTCCAGGGAAGGTACCTCGCTGTCAGGGAGGTGCCACAGCTAGAGCCATAGGATCAAGCTCGGTTATTTCCAAATACAATTGTATTGTCATCCCAAAACGCTACAAAAATCATACCTGTCAAAAGAGTCGGTAGTTACTTTGTAGAGGTAAATAAAGAGTTTACTGCAATGCCTCAAAGTAGGTGACACCGAATCCATGGAGATCAGGTCATCTTCCAACAGTCTTTGAAAGGGCTGGGTGTTGGAGGGGAAGATGTTCAAAGGGCTTATTTTCCTGGAGTCTGAGAAGCAGCCAAGTAACCTCACGGCATCGGCCAGCTTTTCATATTGGATCTCTGTTCTGAAGAAGTGCGAGTTGGCGGGCTCATAGCGCATCGCTGCGGTCAAAGTGCAGAGAACAGTGTGGAGCAGTTCGAACACTTGGTTCTGGTTCACTTTCTCCCAGCCGTTCTTGGGCGGAGAACACAAGGACCTCTCCATGGCAACCAGCAAGGATGTGACGTACACAAACCCACCAACTTTTCTAAAAACTGTTCTCGTCCGGTGACTCTCTTTTAGCACACACAGCAGGGCCTGCGTGGATATTCAGACAAGGCAAGAAAAGCAGGAGGTCATAAAGACAAGCTACTCCAAGTATCACATCGCTAAAGGTTTCTAGGCTGTATCTCAAGCATCTGAACACAGACATTTAAACATCTCTCCAGGTCGTTTCGCCTGCGAAAAATCAGCCTTCGTTCATTTTAATACCAATATTTAAAAAAAGAATGGAGTATCTAACTCACGTCAATCCATTCAGACTCATCACAGACTTAACTGTGTTAGACTCAAGTGGGCTGCCATGTTGGTGACTGAAATTTTGTTCTGTTAACTGCGCTAGTTTTTCTTACAGGACCAAGCAAATCCTGAACGTATAGAGCCAAATTCATAGGATTCATTCATCACATAAAATTTACTGCATGACAATTAAACTATGCTAAGTAAAGCTTCCCTGTCAACTGAGCAAGAGCTGAAACACAGACACATTTATTTATTTTAAAAAAATTCTATGCCACCTTTCCACTCAACTAGGGCTTCCAAGGCGGTGAGCATCAAAGCATCAATACATCTAAAACTGCATTTAAAATAAGGTATATGTGTGTGTGTACAAAAGCAATTATATAAAAATGTATAGACATATACACATTAACAAGACAACCAATGAGGGAGGAGGGCCAATAAGAGTTTATACATGTACATTAGAGTCCAATAGCACCTTAGACACCAACAAGACTTTTGGGGAATGAGTTCATACCCTGAAAATCTTGTTGGTCGCTTTAAGGTGCTACTGGATTCGAATCTAGCTGTTCGACTGCAGACCAACAAGGCTACCCTCTGAAACGAAGAGTTTATACAGTTCCACTCCAGCTCACACTGATTACATAAAGGGACTCCACCCAAGCTTTAGCTCACAGTCTGTGGAGAAGATCCCAGAGCTCTATCACGGGGGATGGCTCCAGAGCTATAATGCTGGAATCCAGAGTTAGCAGAATCCAGACTTATAAACTCTGGGCTTCACCAAGCCAAGCCATGGCTAGTGGTAAAACACAGAATGCGAAGCACAAATGCTCTAAAAGGGAACTGAAGGAGGAACTTTCAAGGAGACAGGAGGAGGGGAAGTAAAAGACTGTGACACATTCCCAATCCTCTAATAAAGAAGAAGAAGATTGGATTTATACCCCGTCCTTCACTTGGAGTCTCAGAGCGGCTTACAAACTCCTTTCCCTTCCCCTCCCCACAACAGACACCCTGTGAGGTGGGTGGGGCTGAGAGAACTCTGACACAAACTGCTTTTTTTCAAGGACAGCTGTGCCAGAGCTTGTGACTGACCCAAGGTCACATCAGCAGGTGCAAGTGGAAGAGTGGGAAATCAAACCTGGTTCTCCCAGATTAGAGTCCGCGCACTTAACCACTACACCAAACTGGACTGGGGTAGATAGCATATTCTCTGGTCTGTGTCTGTCTCTCACTCCTGCTCTTCCAGCCTGTCAAAGAAGAGGCTGCTTAGGACATACCGGTTTAACGACAGACAACCGCAGTCTTTTCACAGGGAAGTTCTCAGACACGTGAAAACATCTAAAATCTAAGCAGCTCAGTAAATTCAATGAAAACAACCGAAGTACAGTATTCACTGAAATACTAATGATTTTCCATGAACTATTGATATACTGGGAGATGGTGTCCCTCTCAGAGCACAAAATGAAAGCAGCTTTCATGAGCATCAGTACATCCCATCATATTGTTCTTACCCTCAATATGTCAGTCTTCAACTGTAATTCCGTCGGTGGAGCAGAGTGCATCAATCCCAAAAGGGTACCCATGTCATCGTCACCACTCGGTGAGAGCACCAGCTGCTGGATGATCATCAGCGCGTGTTGCCTGCATTGTGGATATTTTACTATGTTGTGCACACACCTGGCTCCACCGAACTCTCTGAAGATACCTATACGGAACGTAAGTACAAAGGAATAGCTGTGATACCGCCAAGTGAATCTGGGCACACTATCTACTGATCATATCGGCTCAAGTGTCTGCAATTTCTGCCAACAAGCATTCAGAAGCCAGTTTCTTAGGCCTTCAAGAAGCAATACTCAACTTCCCACGCAGGAGGATAAATACTCATAGGCCGCAACATATGAGCAAAAACACAATCCATTTGTAAGGCTCTTAATTATTTAGAAACCTCATCCATGATTGTGAGATTCTTCTACACACACAAACACAGAAATTTCCATCTCTCACACACATGAAGTGTTGGATTGCGTCAAAGCCTTTTACTGATCTCTGAAACTGCCTGAAGTAGTAGAAAAGAGCAAGAGTCCAGTAGCCCAAAGTGGCAATTTGCATAGCAATAAGCCAGTGGTCAAATTTGCACAGTAGCTACATTATAATATAGTAATTAGAGGGACTATTTCTATTCTTTTGCACAGGTATCAGCTTGTACAGAGAAGCATGAGATGTCATGTTAATTACAAAGACTTCACAGCTAATTACAAACCATATCCATTTATGTGCAATCGTTTTGTTCCCCGTCTCCATATTATTTCTGGACAGCCCCGCCTAATTCTTTTCAGTTGTTATATAGCCTTCTGCTTCCCCCAAGCTGGAGGAGGTGAATAGGCACGTCAATCATTAATGTGAAAACAGAGATAACATACTCCATATTGCACAAGTTAAAGGAGAGCTTTCGGAAGTCGCTCTGCCACACCGAAAGCTCACTTTCTATTTCTTAATCCATGGGAAGAGACAGCTTTAGTAGCCTATAAATGCCTATAAATGTTGCAAAGAAGCCGTGAGAAAGGTAACGAGGGCACCCACTCCCTTGTCTCCGCCTCCTTCCTTGTAAAGATAGGAAAATGAGAACCTAAGTAGGCAGAAGGACTGCCAACCTGCCAGTATCTTCCTGATCGCCCATTTCTGTTGAGTAACCAGTATTGGAGTCTGAAGGCTCATAAAATACAGGTTCACCCCCCCCCCCCCAGGCTCTGTCCATAATCTACCCAGGTCTGCCTGGCTCTGCCCTCCATCACCCAGATATACCCAGCCTCCGACCCAACACCTGGTTCTAGCCTAGCTTCATGTTCTGATTCTCCTCTGTACCATAGCCGGTCAGGTTCTGCCTGATTTTGCTATGGAGCAGAATTTTTTTTCCAGTTGGTCTTGAATGTTGTTTGATGCTCATGTGAATATTAGCCTATCCATTTTTTTTTAATCTGATCATGTGCCTGAATCTCATATACAGTGACAGGACTTCAAAGAAGCCTTGTTATGCATTTGGTCTGTAAGGATTCTCCTCACTTCCAACTCAATTACAAAAGTCTACAATACGCACTAAACATGTGACCTTCTGATATGTGAGAGTTTTGTGGATACGTTCCTGCCCAAAAATAGCCCTGCAAGTCTACAATACGCACTAAACATGAGACCTTCTGATATGTGAGCGTTTTGTGGATAAGTTTGCATGTAGTGCTTTACCTGATTACTGCTGCATTCCTCACAAGCTGTTTAGCTGGATAAATCTTATTGCACCACTGAGGAAGGCAGCAGCTGAAACGCGCTCGGTGTTTTGCTGCTTTATCATATTCTTTGACCAACCGAATATGTGTCGTTTCGTGATTGCTCTATATGAGCTAGTGTATCTGCCACATTGGTAAAGTGATTTATGTATAGTAGAGCTATTTTTACGGTGTATGTGGTCCCCTGGTTACTATTTTGTGGTAATTAATGGAGAATTAAAACTCACTTTGTTTTTTTATTATTATTGTCTATATTTTGAGATTTCTTCACTTAAGCTTTTCAGTTATTTGATTTATTAGTCCCTACTGGATTTTCTCAGATGTTGCTATGCCACACAGCCTCTCCAGACAGGACTGTGTTTTTTAAATCCAAAGCTGACAATTTGGCTAGAAAGCCAGTTGAACCCCCACTGCGCTCACAAACATTCTGTAAGAGTTGCTTCTTTTCTATTACTGTTCACTCAACCCAGTGATCCTGAACAGCTACTGTAAAAGAGTTGGTGAAGGTTTCCGAAAGAATCCAGTAAGTGTAGAATGTGGATCCCACCTTTTGAAGGGTATAAGCTGCATGAGTGCATAGGCAGTACCTGTTCTTATAAAAGCCATATGAGTGCATAGGTAGTACCTGTTCTTATACAGATGTACAGGCTTCTAATATGCTTGTGGGTTCAGATTATGGTGCTGGCTCTTACCCATAAAGCCTTGAGACACCCACACTTGACTCCCCTGTGTATATGTATTCATCTTTGTGGTTTAAAATGCATGCATTTGTATGTATATATATGTAATCGACACACACATAATGTGCCTTTTAAACCTTGACTTAAATATTTGAATGAGGCCATGTTAGAAATACATTTCTCCTCTGCAATAGATGTTTCACTGGGAAAGGATCGGGAGACTTTGACCAAGCAAATTCTACTCTCAGTATACCCATCCCCAACCACCCCAAAGCCAAAAACCTGCTTGACACAGCCCTTTCCATATTTCAAGGGATCGGATAACTCTGTAATTTATGCTTAAGTGTTTTTCAAGGCCAAACATCATCATAAGAGGCGCAGCTCCACACGCTTCACCAGTCGGTTGACAGAATACCTGCATTGGTGTTCGAACCCTGGAGCAGCACTGTTAAGGTTTCCATAACCAGCAAAGCCAGCTGCTTTTGGTCTTCAGATGAACTGTTGTTTCTCGAGTCCCCTAGAAAACAATTTTTAAAAGTTTCTATTTCACATCTGCTTGATGTATTATCCGAATATGGTTCTGTAGCAGGACTTAAAATAAATTTAGAAAAAACTAAGATTATGACCAAAAACTGCTCACAAGATTTGAATATCAAGATACGGATCAAATATTTAGGTGTTCTATTTTCAAATAAAAAGAATACATTATTTGAATACAACTATAAAAAATTACTAGATAGTATTAAAAAAAGATCTTCAGAAATGGCATGATTTACAACTGTCTTTTATGGGTAGAATTGCTACTGTTAAGATGAACATTCTTCCACGTTTTTTATTTTTGGCACAAAACTTACCAATATTTTAAAAAACAATAACTTTTCCCAAGACCTGGATAAACATACAAGAAAATGTATATGGCATGGTAAAAGAGTACTTTTAGATGGAAACTTCTTCAAGATAAAAAAGAAAGAGGTGGTTTTGGC